AGAGAGACAATATTCAGAGATACAAAGAAATGAAATCAAAACCATTTTTTTTGTTATTTATTTATTTGTTAGATGTCATCGGCAATTACAAAATGTCACAATTTACCAGACAATCCATAGACAAAAAAAGAAATATGAAAAGAGATGCAAAAGAAAGACAAATCACTAAAACCTAAATGACAAAAGATATGTTTGATAAGCAAGAGGGTGGGCTGCGAGACAGATAGGGAGAAGGGTTAACAAAAAACACCAATAAATTTATTTATTATTATACATGGTGACAGCCCAACAAACATGACATCTACTACAACAAGTGTGTAACGATGACGATGATGATGCTGTGACGACAACGCTACACGCAATCGCGTCTGATGCGGCTGCTTCGAAGTGAGGGTTAGGGGAGGATAATCTTAAAGAAATTTTGTTTACTATATTTATTACATGACACTCTGGTATTGATTTGTAATTGGATATCTTCCACTAAAGGGTGCGGGATAGGGGATTCATGCATGCCTCTTTGTTTTGATATCTTCTTCACACACACAAATTGGATGCCACAATAAATCAATCCCTCCAACAATCGATGGGAAAATGTGGCAAAAACAAAAAAATATATATGTCATACATTTTATGCCGATTTTCTTTATTTGTGTTAATAATAGGTGTTGATATGTGGGGTATTGTGTGACCCAAATTTGTGTCCTCAGACTGTCCTACTACAGTTGATTAGCTGGCCGCATAGGCCTCTGTTGTAAAATAGCTCGCATCAGAGAATTGACCTCAGAGGCTTCAACAATTAAATAGCTGACTGCAACTCCCTCTACTAATCGGTAGCTGAGCTCATAGGTCTAACAATTGCAGATAACTGGTTGAAGAGAACACTGGTATAGAATAAAATGGTCTCAAGATTCGTAAATCGTAAAGATGATGATTTGAGACGTAATTATCACAAAATACGTGAAAAATCTGGCCTCAGCAAGCTCTGCTGGTGAGTAGCTGTCCTCAGGGGTACTGCATAGACTCTACCGTTGAAGAACGCAGAAGTCTTTACTGAAGAATAGTTCAGAGGTCAGAGGCCACCTGAACATTAAGAGAAGTATTTCATGACATCTAAAAATGAAGTAAGGACATCTGAGCTCAACTACCGAATAGTAGAGAGTGCTGCAGTCATATAAAGGCCCCTAAGTCCAGCTTCCTAAATATAGAGGCCTCTGAGTCAAGCTATTCTATAGCAGAGACATCTGTGGCCAGCTAATCAACGGTAAACATCTTTGTTGTAAACTTCTCTATAAAAGTGACCTCTGAAGACAGCTCATCAACAACAGAGGGCGCTCTGCAGTCTACTATTTGCTACTATATTTGCTGTCACCTACTCTATAAAAGTGACCTCTGAAGACAGCTCCTCAACAACAGAAAGGCTCTGCAGAGGGCGCTCTGCATTCTACCGTTGAAGAGAACAGAAGTCTTTACTGTATAATAGTTCACCTCAGAGGTCACCTGCACATTAAGAGAAGTATTTGATGACATCTGTAAAAGAAAGTAGGGACCTCTGAGCTCAACTATCGAATAGTAGAGAGTGCTGCAGTCATCTAAAGGCCCCTGGGTCCAGCTTCCTAAATATAGAGGTCTCTGAGTCGAGCTTTTCTACAGCAAAGACATTTGTGGCCAGATAATCAACGGTAGACGCCCTTGCTGTCAACTACTCTATAAAAGTTACCTCTGAAGACAGCTCCTTAACAACAGAGGGATTCTGCAGTCTACTATTTTTTCAAATACCCTCTATGGACATCTACTGAACAGCAGAGGGCGCTGATACCACCTACTTCACTTAGAAGAAATCTCTGATGAGAAGTGTTGTATATTAGTGATCTTTCAAGTCATCGTCATGATTCGCTCTACTGTAGAATAGCTCGCCTCAGAGGTCAGCTACTCATTAAGAGAGGTATTTGATGGCATCTGAAAAAGAATGTGGGAACATCTGAGCTCAGCTATCGAATATTTAATAATAAAGGCCCATGAGTTCAGCTTCCTAAATATAGATATCTCTGAGTCGAGCTGGGTAGACGTCTTTGCTGTCAACTACTCTATAAAAGTGATCTCTGAGGATAGCTAGTCAACAGCAGAGGTCGCTGATATCACATACTTCGCTTTAGAAAACTCTAATGTTTTGTGTTGTATAATAGTGGCCTCTCAAATCATCCACATTTACTTCCATTTAGCACTTTTCAAACACATTCAACACTACCTCCATACCATCGTGATTCGCTCTACTGTAGAATAAATCGCCTCAGAGGTCAGCTACTCATTAAGAGAGGTATTTGATGGCATCTGAAACAAAGTAGGCACCTCTGAGCTCAGCTATCGAATATTTAATAGTAAATGCCCATGAGTTCAGGTTCCTAAATATAGATATCTTTGAGTCGAGCTGTGTAGACGCTTTTGCTGAACACTGGCATAGAATAAAATCGACTCAAGATTCGTAAATTGTAAAGATGATGACTTGAGACGCAACTATCATAAAACAGAGCCTTCTAACGTGAAAAAGCTGGCCTCAGCGAGCTCTGCTGTTGAGTAGCTGTCCGCAGAGGTCTTTACTGTAGAATAGTTCGCCTCAGAGGTCACCTACACATTAATCTGATGACATCTGTAAAAGTAGGGACCTCAGAGCTCAACTATCGAACAGCTTCCCAAATATAGAGGTCTCTGAGTCGAGCTATTCTACAGCAGAGACATATGTGGCCAGCTATTCAACGGTAAATACCTTTGCTGTAAACTTCTCTATAAAAGTGACCTCTGAAGACAGCTCATCAACAACAGCGGGCGCTTTGCAGTCTACTATTTTTGTCAAATATTATAATTTTTTCAAATACCCTCTATGGACAGTTACTCAACAGCAGAGGGCACTGATACCACCTACTTCAGTTAGAATTAATCTCTGATGATAAGTGTTGTATATTAGTGGTCTTTCCAGTTATCATCATGATTCGCTCTACTGTAGAATAGCTCGCCTCAGAGGTCCGCTACATCATTCGACGGCATGTGAAACAAAGTAGGCACCTCTGAGTTTAGATATCGAATATTTAATAATAATGGTCCATGAGTTCAGGTTCCTAAATATAGATATCTCTGAGTCGAGATGGGTTGACGCCTTTGCTGAACACTACTCTGTAGAAGTGACCTCTGAGGACAGCTACTCAACAGCAGAGGTCGCTGAAATCTCAGATGATTTGTGTTGTATATTAGTGGCCTCTCGAATCATCATCTTTAGGATTTTTGAACATTGAGTTCATTTTGTCTACACGACTGTTCTCATCAACCATTTTCAACAATTTTTAGATCCCTCTAGCCTCTGTTTTAGAATAGCTGACCCGTATATGCCTCTACTTCCCCGAGGGGCCACTTTAATGAAGTAAATTGAAAAATTTTAGGAATAATTCCTAGAAGTGTTCTAAAAACTGTTTTAATTTTCTCCCTTTAGGTTTGGACGCATGAAAAAGGTCTTTAAAGTAGATTTAAATCCCTAGCTATATATCATCAATTCGATTTTAGAAAATTCATTGCTGCTTTCTTGAAATATATATTTTAGGAAATGTATTCATAGAATTTATACCTAAAACTTATTATATTTGCTCTCTTAAGGACTGGACATATTTTTTGCAAAAGGTGTTTGCAGTTAATTTTTATTTCCGGCTAGGTATCATCAAATATATGTGCAAAATACATTATTGGACCCTGAAAATGTATTTTAGGAAAATTTTTACGAATTATACCTAAATCGGATTAATTTCAATCGCTTAAAGACTTGATATATTTATTGCAACATGTGCTTGCAGTTAGTTTTAATTTCCGGCTAGGTATCATCAAATATATTCTCGAGAGTACATTGCTGGTCTATGACAATATTTTTTAGGAACAATTCTAGGTATTATTCCTAGAATTGTTCGTAAAACAATTTTAATTTGCTCTCATGAGGACTGGCAATATTTCTGCAAAGAGTGTTTAATTTTGATTTAAACATCCGGCTATATATCATCAAAAATATTTTAAAAAAATCAATGCTGGTCTATGAATAATATTTTTTAGGAACAATTCTAGAAATTATTCCTAGAATTGTACCTAAAATTGTTTTAATTTGTTCTCTGAAGAACTGGTAATATTTTTGAAGAAGTCTTCAAAGTAGATTTAAATCGCCGGATAGATATCATCAAAATCTTTCAGGAAATACATTGCTGGTCTATGAAAAATATTTCTTAGGGACAATTATAGGAATTATTCCTAGAATTGTACCTAAAACTGTTTTAATTTGCTCTCTTAAGGATTGGAAATATTTTTGAAGAAGTCTACAAAGTGGATTTCAATCCCCGGATAGGTATCATCAAACATCTTTTAGAAAAAACATTGCTGTTCTATGAAAAATACTTTTTATAAACAATTATAAGAAATTATTCCTAGAATTGTACCTAAAGCTGTTTTAATTTGATCTCTTAAGGACGGGTGATATTTTTGCAAAAGGTATTTAAAGTAGTTTAAAATCCTCGTCTAGATATCACCGAATATTTATTAGAAAATGAAGTGCTGTTACTTGAAAATAGTTTTTTAGGAACAATTTTAGGAATTATTCCTAGAATTATACCTAAAATTGTTTTAATTTGATCTCTTAAGGATTGGACATATTTTTGAAAAACCAATTTAAAGTTGATTGAAATGCTCGTCTAGATATCACCGAATATTTATTAGAAAATACTTTGCCGATGTTTGAACATATTTTTTAGGAACAATTCTAGGAAATATTCCTAGAATTGTACCTAACATTGTTTTAATTGGCTCTCTTAAGGATTGAACACATTTCAAAAGGCGTGTGAGAGTTTCTAATAGATTTTCTTTCGTTTTATTGTAGTTACAAAAAATTAGAAAAAATATGTCTTTATAAAATTTTCGAAAATTTAAAAAAAATTGAAATAAATTTTGAAAAAATTACGGCGAATTTTAAATCACAAAAAATGTTGAAATTTTGGATCTTCGTTGTGTTGGTAAGTTTCGGGGGCAAGTTTTTTTATTTTATGTAGAGAAGGAGGATTCCCTGATGACAGAAAATTCCTTTTCCCTTTTCAGGCCGTCCACTCGGCAACGGGCGCGATACGCCCCTCGACCACCAAAGACAGCCAGGAGCGTTGCGGTTCGGTACTCTGCCAACGAGTTAATGAAATTTTTACCCAAGCCAAGTTGTCACATGGCTATAATTATATTACCACCATTCCCACGGGGGCCATGAATTTGACCATAAAGCAAATGGCGAAAAGTAATAACCTAATAGGTAAGTAATGAGTATTTGCATACATGAAATGGTAATGGGTAATACCTTACTTTATTGTTTTCATTGATTCTCCTTTAGCTTTAAAAACCAAAGATGACAAATACATTGTAAATGGCCATAATCGTGCCTCGGAGGGTGGCTTTTTCGAATACAATGATGATATTTTCGATTATAATAAGGAGGCCAGCGTGATAAGGGCCAAGGGTCCATTGAATAATCCCATTGTGCTGATGGTAAATTGGGGGAAGGGAAGTAGGGGAATTTTGAAAGGGTACTAATGATCGGATTTTATGTGGTTACAGCTTCTGGTGAGTGAACTAAATACTGGGGTACAATATTCCTATGCCTTGCCGGTACCATCGGCCTCCATCTCCGAACCGGAGGAATTGCAAAGTCAATGGAATGAATTGGGCCAGCCATTGGATGAGATAGACGAATCTCCAGCCAGGGATAATTTAGTAGCCAAACCCAAGGAGAAACGTCGGCGTAAATATGCCTGGGAATTGCTGGGCTTTGGACCCTGTAGCCGGACCTGTGGCCCTGGCAAACAATCGCCAATTTTTCGATGCACTCGAGAATCGGAAAGTAAGGAGCTGGTGAAGAGGTATTACTCGCCTAAGAGATGTGCAAATATCGAAAAGGAAACCTTCCTGCCCACCATTTATCTATGCAGTCATGGCCTGTGTCCGGCCTATTGGAAGAAGGGTGAATTTGGAGAATGTGACTGTTCGAATGGTACGGCGGAGGGTTTTAAGTTGCGGGAGGTTCTTTGTTATCAGGAAAATATTAATGCGACGCATGTCCCGGTCGATGAGGTGAAATGTAAGGACCCTAAGCCGGGCACCCGGGAGAAATGTCACTGCAAAAAGCCGAAAATCTATACCAGGAATGTGGAAAAGACCAGCCAGATATATAATCGATTTATTGGTTCCACAAATACCTATAAGACCATAATGAGTAAGAACGGAATATTGGAATTTGGATTTCAAAATTAATTTCTAATTTAATATCTCCTCCCCCCCAGGCAAACGCCACACCCCTGGCAGTAGCTCCAATACCTCTACCACCCTCAAGCGTTATAATCGTGAAGAGAAATCCGGCGTTTGGCTAATGTCCGAATGGAATCAACAATGTTCGAAGGACTGCATGTATCCGCATGAACATCGTACCACATATTGTGATCGTACTGCACCCTATGTTGATCCTTGTGATCCGGTATTGAAGCCAGAAAATCGTCGAACCTGTGCAAAACGTCCACAATCGTGTAGGCGTGCGGTATGGTTTGCATCGGATTGGAGTAAATGTTCGGGTGATTGTTTAAATCGACGACGAACGAGAATGGTTTTGTGTGTCATGGATGGATATGTGGTGGATAAGAAGCAGTGCGACCCGAAAACGAAACCGGTAGAGATGACTTTGTGTGCCACGAAAGATTCGGCTTTTTGTGGACCGAAGTGGCACTACTCGGAGTGGTCAGAGGTAAGGGGGAGTAAAAAATGAAATTTCGAGGGTCTATAAAAATTGGGAAATAAACAAAAAAAAAAAAAAAAAAAAAAAAAAAAAAAATTAAAAGGAAGCTACACGAGGCGTGGATTTTTTAAAGCTATTTCTTGAGGGACCTATACAAGGCGTAGATTTTTAAAATCATTTTTTCAACGACCTATATAAGGCGTGGAGTTTTAAAATCATTTTTTCAAGGACCTATATAAGGCGTGGAGTTTTAAAATCATTTTTTCAAGGACCTATATAAGGCGTGGATTTTTAAAATTATTTTTTTTAAGGACCTATAAAAAGCGTGGATTTTTAAAATCATTTTTTCAAGGACCTATATAAGGCGTGGATTTTTAAAATTAATTTTTCAAGGGTCTATACAGGGCGTGGATTTTTAAAATTAATTTTTCAAGGGTCTATACAGGGCGTGGATTTTTAAAATTAATTTTTCAAGGGTCTATACAGGGCGTGGATTTTTAAAATTAATTTTTCAAGGGTCTATACAGGGCGTGGATTTTTAAAATTAATTTTTCAAGGGTCTATACAGGGGGTGGATTTTTAAAATTAATTTTTCAAGGGTCCATACAGGGCGTGGATTTTTAAAATTAATTTTTCAAGGGTCTATACAGGCCGTGGATTTTTTAAATTAATTTTTCAAGGGTCTATACATGGCGTGGCTTTTTAAAATTATTTTTTCAAGGGCCTATACAGGGCGTGGATTTTTAAAATTAATTTTTCAAGGGTCCATACAGGGCGTGGATTTTTAAAATTAATTTTTCAAGGGTCTATACAGGGCGTGGATTTTTAAAATTAAATTTTCTAATATTTATTTATTTTTAATTCCAGTGCTCCCGCACCTGTGGCGAAGGTGTCCAGCGCCGCTATGCCAAATGCCTGGAATTCGATTACAAGCTAAAAGAAATGACCGAATCGAATAAATGTAAATTCCTCGAACGTGAACCCGTCTACGGCACCTGTAATCTGGGCAATTGTGAAGGTAAAGAAATGTCTACCATTAAAGTCGGCCATTTATGGCGGTATCTAATAATGCTTGTGATTTTCTTCTTGATTTGTTCATGGTTTTGGCAACTATTGCAGAACTGAGAGCAGCACAATTAGCAGCGGCTGCTGCTGCAGGCCGTGTCGTCGAAGATGACGACGACAACAATGCCCTACAAGTCTATACAAGGAGGGGTGCCGTGATTGGTGGTGGAATCGGAACGGAATATGATGATGAAGAGGATGATGATTACGATGATGCGGAAGGTAGTATTAATGGTGTTGGTGGTGCTGGAGCTGGAACTGTTTTGGCTGCTGTTGCTGCTGCTGAACCCATCAGCGTGGAAGAAAGTTACCAAGATCTATCAAGTGGCAATGAGAAATTAGTGATCGCTTCGGCGCCAAAAGTATTGCAAAATTGTCGTGAGGAATTGAATAATTGTAAGCGAATCAATCGTGAACGTTTATGTAAAGTTGATTATTATAAGAAAAATTGTTGTCTGACGTGCCATGGATTTTATTGAGAGAGAGCAACAGATGGTGATGATGATGAGGTGTGAAAATCGGGAGAGAGGGGATAGGAGAGAAAATAATAGTAATAAAAATTAAACAAAAATTTGTTCAAGTCCTAATTTAGGCTAATTTCGGTTCAGATTTATATATAGCTCCCATATATATTTTCGTCCGATTTAAGGTAAATGGTGTACCAAAGTCCCTATATATGCTTCGATTTGCACGAAATTCGGTATAGCCTACTGAATAAAGTCTAAAATTATGTGTACCAAGTTTAATGAAAATCGGTTCAGATTTAGATATAGCTCCCATATATATTTTCGTCCGATTTAATGTAAATGGTGCACTAAAGTCCCTATATAACTTTCGATTTGCACGAAATTTGGCATGGAGCACTGAATTCGGTCCAGAATGATGTGTGCAACGTTTCGTGAAAATCGGTTCAGATTTATATATAGGTCCCATATATAGTTTCGCCCGATTTAAGGTAATCGGTGCATAAAGGCCCTATATAACTTTCGATGTGCACCAAAATTGGCATAATATACTGAATTGAGTCTGGAATGATGCGTGCTTAGTTTCGAGAAAATCGGTTCATATCTAGATATAGCCCTCATATATACTTTCGCCCGATTTTTGGTAAGTGGTGCACCAAAGTCCCTATATATATTTTGATTTGTACGAAATTTGGTATGGTATACTGAATTGAGCCTAGAGTGATATCTGACAAGTTTCGTGAAAATCGGTTCAGATTTATATATAACTCCCATATATAGTTTTGCCGGATTTTCGGTAAATGGTGCACCAAAGTCCCGATGTATCTTTCGATTTGCACGAAATTTGGCATGTCATACTGAATTGAGCATAGAATGATGTCTCCCAAATTTCGTGAAAATCGGTTCAGATTTAGATATAGCTCCCATATATATTTTCGTCCGATTTAATGTAAATGGTGCACTAAAGTCCCTATATAACTTTCGATTTGCACGAAATTTGGCATGGAGCACTGAATTCGGTCCAGAATGATGTGTGCAACGTTTCGTGAAAATCGGTTCAGATTTATATATAGCTCCCATATATAGTTTCGCCCGATTTTTTGGTAAATGGACCACCAAAGTCCCTATATATCTTTCGATTTGCACGAAATTTGGCACAGCTTAATGAATTAGGCCTAGAATGATGTGTGCTAGGTTTCGTGAAAATCGGTTCAGATTTATATATAGCTCCCATATATATTTTCGTCCGGTTTAATGTAAAAGGTGTACCAAAGTCCCTATATATCTTTCGATTTGCACGAAATTCGGCACAGCGTGATAAATTAGGTCTAAAATGATGTGTGTTAAGTTTCGAGTAAATCGGTTCTGATTTATATATAGCTCCCATATATATTTTCGTTCGATTTACTGTAAAAGGTGTACCAAAGTCCCTATATATCTTTCGATTTGCACGAAATTTGGCTCAGCGTAATGAATTAGGCATAGAGTGATGTATGCAAAGTTTCGTGAAAATCGGTTCCGATTTAGATATAGCTCCCGTATATATTTTCGTCCGATTTAAGGTAAATGGGGCACCAAAGTCCCCATATATCTTTCAATTTGCACGAAATTTGGCACAGCGTAATGAATTAGGCCTAGAATGGTTCAGATTTAGATATAGCTTCTATATCTGAGAAAATGAAACATTTAGTATCGGTTGCAGAATGACATGTTTATGGATCCAATTTCATTTTACTGGTCTTTTAAAAATGCGACGTCTATTAGGATTCATCTGTTGAATATACCCAAAGTGGTGAAGGGTGTCATATAGTCGACCTCGTCCGACTTTACTATTTTCCTTACTGGTATTAAATTAATTTTTCTAGGGTCAAAACAAGGCCTAAATTTTTTAAATAATTTTTTCAAGGGTCTATACATGGTCTGGGTTTTTAAAATAATTTTTTTAAATAATTTTTTCAAGGGGCTATACAATCTACGCCTTATATGGGTGCTTCCAAAAATATTTTCAAAAAATCCACGCCTTATATAGGCTTCGGAAAAAAATATATTTAAAAAATCCACGCTTTATACAGGCCATTTTTTTTTAAATCCACACTTTATTTAGGTCGCACAACTCTCTTTCTCTCTCTCTCTCTTTTATTCCCTCTCCATCCATTGTTTTTTCTTATTTATCTATTAAAGTATTTATTTAAATCATGTCATATAAAAAATAATGTAGTTTTCTTATAAAAAAAATATATCTATGTATTTAAGTCTGTATGTGAGTCATATATATTTATATCTAAATTAATTATAATTTTTATAAAATAATTCTTTTGTTTTGGCTTTGCCAAAACTATTATTAATAATAATATTCGTTATGAATGTATTTATATGTATGTGTTGTTGTTGTATTACTGTGTAGAAAAAAATAATATTTTTTTTTTTGAAATAAAAAAAAAATTAGAAAAAAAAAATTGAAAATTGTATAGTTGTGTTTTTATTTTTTAATGGGCAATTTGGGTGGTCTTAACCTAGTTATGACGCTGGGCCATATTCCAAAAAGTTATGGCGCTCTGTGTGTAATTTAATAAAATTACTTTTAATTTCAATTCAAGTCCGCACCAGTCCGCATAACGGCAGCAGTTGCACTTTCATTTATGCAGTCGATCAATCGATCGCTTGATTGGTTGGTCGGTTGGACAGTCAATCAATTGAGGCAAGCAGGCAGTCAGGCAAACGGGCAGAACGGCCAGGCTCATTATTCTCCACAAAAATAGCCAAGGCAGGGCAATTTGAAAATGGTGGTGGATTTTTTCCGATTAGAGGGAGGAGTAGTGTCGGTTTTGGCGCAGCATTTTTTCTTCCAGCGCCGTTGAAATATTCAATAATTGTTAATGCGTGTTAATTGTTTTCTTTAGTTGAGCTATACAATTTTCAATTTCAAATTAGCCAATATCGATATAGCCAGGGCAGCCGGGCGTTATCGATGACGCTATGTATTAATTGGTATTAGTGAATTATGTGCAATAGTTCAAATAGTTAAACGTTTTATGCATTTGACCTTATTAATTTGAAAATTGGGATGGGAAAATTTGAAAAATTAATTTAAAAAAAATCCACACATAGAATAACCTCTTGAAAAATTAATAAAAAATCCACGCCTTGTATAGAGTCTTGAGAAATTAATAAAAAAAAAATCCACGCCTTGTATAGAGTCTTGAAAAATTAATTTTAAAAAATCCACGCCTTGTATAGAGCCTTGAAAAATTAATTTTAAAAAATCCACGCCTTGTATAAAGCCTTGAAAAATTAATTTTAAAAATCCACGCCTTGTATAGAGCCTTGAAAAATTAATTTTAAAAAAATCCACGCCCTATATAGGTCCTATGGGGTGACGTAGGGGATGATAGTTACCAAGCAACGGCTCTGATTGGCTTAAACATGGCGAAGCCCAGGCTTATCTTGGTCCCACTTTCATCTCAATTGTGGACACAGACCTCCCCGCGGTGTCACCTGGGGTAAATCATCCATCGGAATAGTGAGCTAATATGTGCCGCGAGTTCACCCATAAGAACTACAAAAAATGGGTACTTGTACTTGCTGGGTTGACAGCCCGGGGCACGATGGCCGGTTCTATGGGCCATCGTGCCCCGCGTTATTTGTCTGACATTAGTCATCTTTTAGAAGGCAATAACCCTCTGGTGCTAGGGGATTTCATTGCACATCATGAGTTATGGCATTCCGTCCTAGGTAATGACCAGAGGGGCATGGCGCTGGCCGAGCAAATTGATAACTCAACGTTTTGAACGGTGAATGAGGACACACCCACCAGGATAAGGGGAGACTGCCAAAGCTCACCTGACATCTCCATCGTGGCTTGGCAACCCGTCATATCATTGGGGTCTGATCACCTCCCTATTATCATATCATCCATCAACAGACCACCCGACTTTATAAGTTCTGTACGCCGTACTTTCCTTAATCATGGGAAAGCCAATTGGCAAGAGTTCAGAAATTTCACCAATCGTCGCTTCAGAGAGCTGCCCAATCCTTCTGATACTCGGGTAGCAGAAAGGAATTTCGGGGACATGATAATTGCTGCAGCCGCTCGCTATATACCTGCGGGTCGTATACCCGAACTAAGACCAAACTTCCAAACTGATGAGCTTCGACGTACTAATCCTACTAACCCCAGAGTCAGAGAACTGACGTTGAAGGTGAACTGGTTAGTAGGGGAGCATAAACGGACAAAAGTGGCTAGAACATCTGAAGTGTTGCCACATCAGTACCGGAGTGAGTAAATTGTGGACAACGGTTAAGTCGCTCTCGAACCCTGGAGCAGAAACACGGTTCTCCAGTAGCTAGCCGGCAGCACTTGGGGAGCTGACAAGGAAACGTTGTTAACGACTTATACAGCAATAGGCCGGTCATGGTAAACTATGCGGCGCCAGTGTGGTCCGCTAACGTCAGTGCAACGCAGTGGAAAAGTCTTCAATCCTGCCAGAATGCCGCCCTGAGAACTGCAACAGAGTGTCTCCTCATGACTTCAATAGACTAAGATGTTGTCGATGCAATTCCTGCTTGGGTGTTGTGGTCAGAGCAACGCAGTGGAAAAGTCTTCAATCCTGCCAGAATGCCGCCCGGAGGACTGCAACAGAGTGTCTCCTCATGACTTCAATAGACCAAGATATTGTCGATGCAATTCCTGCTTGGAGGAGTTACTTAATGGATAGGCACCCACCACCTAGGCATGTCAGGAAGGATCTTCATGACCTGGAGAGAGAGGTCCAAAGGTACAAAAGGGAGCCTCTAGATCAACAGGCCTATCAAGCAGGATTGAATCGTATTCACAGTTCAAGAATATTGTGTGAATACCATCCTCGGAGATTATCCACCTATGATAGCTGCAGAAGAGCAGCAGCTACCTCGACAAACCAGAGTGGTCTTGGCACAACTAAGATCTGGATAGTGTAGCCGCCTCAATTCATATTGGGCACGAATTGATGGAAAGGTCGACAATATCTGCCTGGCAT